TTGCGAATTAAGAAATCAAAAAATTTAGGAAAGAATCGTTCAATTTTGACCGATTTATAAATTTAAAAAAGCCAAATTTTCATAAACTCGAATGTGAAAAGAAAACCCTAAGATTATGAACAAATAATTTCCTCAGACTCAGATGCACAATAAATGCAAAACAATTCTTTAGGATAGATTTGTTCAATAATTCAAAAACTATAACACCGTTTTTTTTAATTTATTGCTGACTCAATTAATATCAAAATATGAGACGTAATTAAAAAAAAAATCAAAATCACTTTTTTCTTAAATTTAGACGAATTTTTTCATATTTTTAGGACGCATTGTACGATTGTTTTTTTGGAAAGTCTGAAATTTTGAAGAAAAAGTTGACATTTTAAAACAGAAAAATTGTTATATCTCCAGGGTTTAAAAAATAACATGATGCTATTATCACAAACATTTTGAAATTTTAGACGTTGCGATTTAAGAAATCCAAAAATTTAGGAAATAAAAAAAATTAAATTAAATTTTTCAATTTTTCAACTTTTCAGTTCAATTTCTAGATTTTGCAATTTTTCGAATTGAGTTTTCGAGTTTTCAATTTTTAATTTTTCCATTTCCAATTTTTCGTTTCAGTTTTTTATTTTCATAATTTTTACAATTTTTCAATTTTTGTAGGTTCGGATTTTATAATTTTTTGTTTCGTCAGTTTTTCAATTTGCAATTCATCGATTTTTTGTTTTTTTTTTTTTAATTAATTTTACGATTTCTATTCGAGTTTTTATTTTTAAATTTTCCAGTTTTCAAACTTCTGGATGTTTCAGTTATTAGATTTTGCAGTTTTTCGATTTGAAATTTTACGAATTTTCAATTTTTAATTTTTCAATTTTTAGGTTTTTCAGTTTTTAGGTTTTTCAGTTTCTCATCTCTTCAATTTTTCGAGAAAACTATGTATATAAACAAAAAAAAACAAAACAAAAATTAGGCCCCACCCACTCGCCCCGATCTCAATTGTGGTTAGATTTTAATTCCCAATGAGACCGAAGGGCGGAGTTTAAATGTAACATCAATATTTCTCTAAAAAATTCTACCCTTTTAAAAACATACTTCATATGGTAATTTCTTGTAGAGAAATGATGATTTTGCAACTAAACTCCGCCCTTCAGCTCACGATAAATAAAATATTCGTCACAATTGAGGAGGGGTGGGTGGGCGGGGCTTATATTTTGTCCATTTTTTCTATATATAGGAAGTCTTCTTTTTCTTCTTTTTCCAAAAGAAACTGAAAATAAGTTTAACTATCCTGTTGTTAAAAGAAAACTCTATATACTAAAAAAAAAAAAACAAAAATTAAGCCCCACCCACCCGCCCCACTCTCAATTGTGATGAATTTCATATGGTAATTTCTTGTAGAGAAATGACGATTTTGCTACAAAAGTCCGTCCTTCAGCTCACAATGAATAAAACATTCGTCACAATTGAGAAGGGGTGGGTGGGCGGGGCTTATATTTTGTCCCTTTTTTTCTTAATATAAGAAGTCTTTTTTTCTTAACAAGAAACGGAAAACATGTTTAGCTATTTTGTTGTTGAAAGAAAACTATATATTAAAAAAAAAACAAACAAAAATTAAGCCCCACCCACCCGCCCCAATCTCAATTGTGATGAATTTCATATGGTATCTTGTAGAGAAATGAGGATTTTGCAACTAAACTCCGCCCTTTAGCTCACGATAAATAAAATATTCGTCACAATTGAGAAGGGGTGGGTGGGCGGGGCTTATATTTAGTCCAGTTTTTCTTAATATACGAAGTCTTTTTTTCCCAGCAAGAAACTGAGAATATGTTTAACTATCTTGTTGTTGAAAGAAAACTATATATTAAAAAAAAACAAATAAAAATTAAGCCCCACCCACCCGCCCCAATCTCAATTGTGATGAATTTCATATGGTATCTTGTAGAGAAATGAGGATTTTGCAACAAAACTCCGCCCTTCAGCTCACGATGAATAAAATATTCGTCACAATCGACAAGGGGTGGGTGGGCGGGGCTTGTATTTTGTCCATTTTTTCTTAATATAGGAAGTCTTCTTTTCTTAACAAGAAACGGAAAACATGTTTAACTATTTTGTTATTGAAAGAAAACTATATATTAAAAAAAAAAAACAAAAAAAATTAAGCCCCACCCACCCGCCCCATTCTCAATTGTGATGAATTTCATATGGTAATTTCTTGTAGAGAAATGACAATTTTGGTACAAAACTCCGCCCTTCAGCTCACAGTGAATAAAACATTCATTACAATCGAGAAGGGGTGGGTGGGCGGGGCTTATACTTAGTCCGGTTTTTCTTAATATACGAAGCCTTTTTTTCCCAGCAAGAAACTGAGAATATGTTTAACTATCTTGTTGTTGAAAGAAAACTCTATATATTAAAAAAAAAAAACAAAAATTACAATCTCAATTGTGATGAATATATGGTAATTTGTTGTAGAGAAATGATGATTTTGCAACTAAACTCCGCCCTTCACCTCACGATGAATAAAATATTCGTCACAATTGGGAAGGGGTGGGTGGGTGGGGCTTATATTTCGTCCATTTTTTCTTAACATAGGAAGTCTTCTTTACTTAACAAGAAACAGAAAACATGTTTAACTATTTTGTTGTTGAAAGAAAACTATATATTAAAAAAAAAACAAACAAAAATTAAGCCCCACCCACCCGCCCAAATCTCAATTGTGATGAATTTCATATGACAAAATGTTATGAATATTCTAATTCTTATTTTATCACCATTAAATAAATCTATCTAAATATATTATAAACATCTTAAAATAGACAAATTCTCTAGAATTAAAAAAATAACATGACCCTGTTTTCACAAAAATTTCCAAATTTTGGACGTTGCGAATTAAGAACTCCATAAATTGAAGACATTATCGTTCAATTTTGACAGAACTCTAAATTTAGAAAAGCGAAATTTTCGTAAACTTGATTTTAAAATTAAATCTGACTTTTTAATATCAAAATTTAGATCAATTTTTTTCGTACTTTTTGGATTCCTTGACGGTTGTATTTTTTTGGAAAATTTTAATATTTTGAAAAAAAAAAAAACAGTTTAAAACAGAAAAATAGTTATATCAGGATTTAAAAAATAACATGATACTGTTCTCACAAAATTTGAAATTTCAGTTGTTGCAAATTAAGAAATCCAAAAATTTCAGAAATTATCGTTCAATTTTGACAAAATTCCAATTCTAGAAAAAGTGAAATTTTCATCATCTGGATTTTAAAATACGATAATTACAGACATTTTTTTCAACATAGGATCGTTCAATAATATCAAAGTTAGAACAGTATTATTTTTTTAATTTACGCCATCAGTTTATGCCAAAATAGCTTTAATTACACACTTTAAAAAATAAATCAGAGTCACTTTTTTGTAAAACATGGTTTATGTATAAATTGCAATTCCGGAATTTGTATCTTACCTTTTTACCTTAAAAATTGGAAATTCATGGTGTGGATTTAAAAATCCATCGATAAATTGCCCGAAACACTCTATTATTGAATTTTTTAGTAAAACCACATTATAATCTTTCCAACAAATTAAACAAACACAAAACGCGGATTTATTTTCGTTATCGACGATTTACTAAACAAATTTGAACCTCCTCGCAATAAAAAATACGTGTTTGGGAAGATAAAAGCAAACGATTTCTATTTAATGCCGCACATGAATAACCAAATAACGCAAATAGTCCATACTAAACATTTAATACTCGAATACGAATACACATTTAATTATTGCCAATTCGTTAAAACGTTGTATCGTTTTAAACAAACCAGCAAATTGCATGTTATTCATAATGATTCCTATAATTAAAAAAACATAGTTTTTTGATGGGCGCGTAGGAAGTAAGAACAAGATATTTTGCATCGCGTGGGACTGTAAAAGTCCGTAATGGGGTAAGTTCCAACAAATTTGTGTTAAATTTTGATGATAAATCAGACGAAGTGGGTACTAACTGCAGAACATAAATATAATTGCGAAAAATGCAGGATTTGTTGAATTTTTAAAATGGGACGGGTTAATTTCGGCTATAAAGTCAACCCACACGACGAGAGAATCATAATTAAAGTTGTATGTTCAACCATTACAGTGTTATAATTTAATTGAGATAACGCAGAGATTTACTTTATTATTATTTAGTCGATATGTGGCACATTTTTTGCTCTACAATGAAGAATGAAATATGACCTACGCCTCTGAACCTTTCAGTGAATCTCTAATTACCGTTACAGCTACGTCAGGGCCATTAAAAATAAGCCCGATAATTAGACGTTTCTTTTTCCGTCGCTTTGATTTATCTCCGTGCTTCCTACGTTTGAAATTGAATAATCGATCGCTCCGAAAAGGTGATTATTGACAAAATCTGGATTATGTGGATTCAGCCCGATTCGGATTAGCATAAATTACGCGAACTTTCCTAATTAATCGTAGAGTACTTGAGTTAAATGAAGTTTTAATTTATCGGAGTGTAGGTTTGACGTTAATAAAGGCTATGAATATTCATCGGGGGCTTTGATGAAAGAGCGGAGTCACGAATTCGCGAAAAAAGCCTGTAAAGTCTAGTTGAATTTTTAACGATTTTAATTGTGACGAGCTCTGACTCGAGGGGATTTGAAGAGGTCTTAATTGTGTTGGCGAGTTTTATAAGATCGCTTTACCGGATTCATTAATCTGTCAAAGTGTTATTATTCCGGGCTGTAAAAGGTGTTGTATCAAATGACTTACAAGAACGCGGACATGACAGCGATTAATTTTCGAGAGCTTTAGAAAATCACGACCATTTTCCAACGAAAAATTTGCATAATAAAGGTGCCAGTCGTAATTTACCGCTTCGAAATTTATTGCCGATTTACGATAATCCAAATAAAACTTTTATTGTTTCGTGGGAGTGCGGCGTGCCGAAAATTTAAATATAATAAATCTGGGTGTGCTGAACCTGGCGGTTTCAGGTGGTGACCTTGGCGATGGTACGGTCTTCCGCACCTGCCGCCGCTCGGTTGTCCCTGGTGGACTGGAACAGCTACAACTACCATGAGCCCCAGGGACCCGGGACCTATGCCTTCGGCTACGACATCGACGACGCCTCCAGCAACAACGTCCAGTTCAGGAACGAGGAGCGGCACCCCAATGGGACCGTCACCGGGAGCTATGGGTACGTGGCGCCCGATGGGAACGTGAGGGTGGTGAACTACATCGCCGACCAGAATGGATACAGGTGACGACTATTTGTGTAAATGTTTTGAGGTGGTTGTGGCTTTGAAAATCAGTTGGCAATTCTGACTGTCAATTGCAATTTTGAGGTTAGAATAAAAAAAACGTATTTTATTATTAAAGTCCAGTGGTAACGTCCAGCCCCGTAGCTACGGGGGGGCAAGAGGGGGCTGAGCCCCCTCTAGCAGTTGTGGTTGCCCCCCCTGGAAGACTCATACATTATAAATTTCAAATTAGTAATAAAATTTCAATATAATGCCGATTGCCGAAGCATATTAACTGGCCCCACCCGCCCCACCTTTATTTTCGTACAGGGTATATTATTTGGCAATATCAAAATTAACATGTCACATTTTATTCCATAGCCTACTATGTAGGTACTTGAGAAAAGTCAAAAATATTATATGGATTTTCTAAAAATTGAGCTTTTATTGAAATGGACAAAAAATAGACAAAAAATTCTGAGATGTAGATCTCGATGAGCTTAATCAAAAAACATAAGGTCTTGATGGTCCCAGACCAAGATTTTTCAAAAATTCGGTTCCAAAGTCGACATTTCAAAATTTCTGAAAAATTACATTTCTTTTGGCGGCTCTGGAAAAATTGTACGAATTTTCGAAAAAATAAAACCAAAAAAAAAACATTTGGAGATCGAAATCAATAAAAAGATCCCTTCTGCTAGTTTTCGAAAATGCGTGGGAAAAGTCAAATTTTTTTTATAGATTTTCAAAAATTGAGCTTTTGTTGAAATTGGCTGAAAATCTACAAAAAATTCTGAGATGTAGATCTCGACGAGTTTAGTCAAAAAACATAAGGTCTTGCTGCTATTCGGTTTCCAAGTCGAATTTTTAAAATTTCTCAAAAATTATACTCCTATTTCTTTTGACGATTCTAGAAAAATTTTACAAATTTTCGATCAAATAAAACCAAAAACAACATCTGAAGATTGAAATAAATAAAAGAATGACTTTTGGTAATTTTTGGAAATGCTAAGAAAAGTCAAAATTTATTTAGTTTTCAAAAATTGAGCTTTTGTTAGAGTTGACAAAAAATTCTGAAATATAGATCTCGATGAGCTTAATTGAAAAACATGTTCATGCTCCCGGAGCAAAATTTACGAATTATTGGGTTCTACCTAAAATTTTTAAAAAATCTCAAAAGTGACTTAAAAAAAAGTTATTTCTTTATGCGATTGTGGAAAAATTCGACGAAATATCAAAAAAATAAAACCAAAAATAACATCTGTAGATCGAAATCAATAAAGAGATCCCTTTTGCTAATTTTAGAAGATGCTTGGGAAAAGTCAAAAAATGTATATGGATTTTCAAAAATTGAGCTTTTGTTGAAATTAACAAAAATCAACAAAAAATTCCGAGATGTAGATCTCGATGAGCTTAATCCAAAAACATAAGGTCTTGATGGTCCCAGACCAAGATTTTCGAAAAATTCGGTTTCAAAGTCGACATTTCAAAATTTCTCAAAAATTACATTTCTTTTGGCGGCTTTGGAAAAATTGTACAAATTTTCGAAAAAATAAAACCAAAAACAACATTTGGAGATCGAAATCGATAAAGAGATCCCTTTTGCTAATTTTCGAAAACGGTTGGGAAAAGTCATAAACATTTTATAGATTTTCAAAAATTTAGCTTTTGTTGAAGTTGACTAAAAATCCACAAAAAAATCTGAAATGTTGATCTCGACGAGCTCAATCAAAAAACACAAGGTCTAGATGGTCCCAGATCAAGATTTTCGAAACATTCGGTTTCAAAGTTCAAAAATTACATTTCGTTTGGCGATTGCTGAAAAATTTTACGACTTTTCAACCAAATAAAACCAAAAACAACATCTGGAGATCGAAATCAATAAAGGAATCCCTTTTGGTAATCTCGAACGTGCTTGAAAAAAGTCAAAAATTTGATACAGGTTTTCAAAAATTGCCATATTTCTTCCGTCGATTCTGGAAAAATTGTAAGAATTTTCAAAAAAATTGAATCCAAAACGATTTTTGGAAATCGAGATGAACAAAGGAGTCTCTTTTGATAATTTTTAAAAATGCTTGGGAAAAGTCAAAAATTTTATATGGGTTTTCAAAAATTGAACTTTCGTAAAAGTTGACAAAAAATTCTGAAATATAGATTTGGACGAGCTTAAAAAAACATGACAGGTTCATGGTTCCGGATCAAAATTTTCGAAATACTCGGTTTCGAGCTCGAATTTTCAAAATTTCTCAAAAATTACCATATTTCTTTTGGCGATTGTGGAAAAATTGTACGCATTTTCGAAAAAACAACCAAAAACAACATCTGGAGATCGAAATCAATAAAGGAATCCCTTTTGGTAATCTCGAACGTGCTTGAAAAAAAGTCAAAAATTTGACACAGGTTCTCAAAAATTGCCATATTTCTCCCGTCGATTCTGGAAAAAAAGTTAGAATTTTCAAAAAGATTGAATCCAAAACGATTTCTGGAAATCGAGATGAACAAAGGAATCTCTTTTGGTAATTTTCGAAAATGCTTGGGAAAAGCCAAAAATTTTATATGGGTTTTCAAAAATTGAACTTTCGTAAAAGTTGACAAAAAATTCTGAAATACACATCTCGACGAGTTTAAAAAAACATGACGAGTTCATGGTTCCGTACCAAAATTTTCGAAATATTTGGTTTCGAAGTCGGATTTTTAAAATATGTACTAAACATGCAAAAAAATAAACTCAAACAAATTGGATGTTACCTATATGGTCACTACACAAATTTTTGGATGCAGTACAGCTGTTTGTGAATGTACATTCTCTGTTTTAACCAGCATTTTAACCAAGTACCGTACTAATTTTTTGGACTTCGACAGGTTTTTACGAAAATTTAGCGTGAAAAATCGACGTTTCCAATTATTTTAATGTTCTTTCAAATATAAAAACTCAGAAAAAATAAAATAGTTATCTGAGTGTATTATTAAAATATAAATATTTACATGAAGCCCCCTCTGTCGACAAACTTGCCCCCCCTGAATAAGTTTTCTAGCTACGGGGCTGGTAACGTCCCACGATGAATCCAACGCTCATAAAATTTTTTAGCGGTACCGGAATAAGTTGTTTAATCGTTTTATTACCATTGATTAATTAAGTTAGAGCTATCAAATTTTACAGTTCAGAGATTGCGTAACGATTAACGAACTTCTTGGGATTTTATTCATTAAACTAAAAAAAAAAAAATGTAACTGAAAAAATTGCCTCTAAATCATACAGAGTTCCGTGCTCCGACAAACTTCACCCATATCTCATACTTAAATACACAAATAAATTTAAATAATGTAATAATACTTAAACTATTTTTCTTTCCAGAGCGACGGAAGAAAACCCGGTGCGTCTGTCCATGCTGAAGCCCATCCGCTACCCCGACACCCCGTTCTTCATACCAAGCGCTGACTACTCCCCATACACCCAGTACCCATCGTACCAAGGCTACCCGCCCTATCGACGCTACTTCCCCCACAAATAGTCGCCCATCTAACCCATAAATTATTGTTGCCCAAATAAAGACCTAATACATTTTCGATGAACTAATGCGGTCCTAATCGCCCTCCCTGGCTCACTCCTCCGCGTTCCGGCGATCGATAACTGTTGCGCTTTAATTGCCTCTTCGAGGTCTTCCTTACGATTAAAATAATTGTTGCGTTACCTTACGTTTACGGCTAATTGTTGGCCAGTCATCGCAGAGATTAAAGTGCTTTATTTTCGTCGCAATTTCATAATCGACCTCGGGTGTGTCTTGAGGCAAATATCAGGCTTTGTTTGTAAGTGTGCCACAATGTAACAAATTGGTTTCGATTTTTGCGGAATGGGAGATTGATGGAGTTGTGAATGGGTGGAAAGTGGTTTTATTATGCTGGTGTTACGACAATGAATGGGCGATAATGGAGAAGTGCTGGTAAAGTGTCTGGAATGGGTTATTTACGGCGGGATGTCGGCGATTGTGGCTTTATGGGTGCCTCGAAGGCGCGACCTTTGCGGTTGAGATTAAAAAAAATTAGTTAGAGATGGGACGGATGAAGGTTTTATGGTCGTCGGGGTATGGACAGCTAGTGCTACTACAACTGTCTGAGTTCCCTAGGGTTTTCCTTGAATGTTATTTATAGCGCGTGTTTCCTAATTCCATTATTACTTAAGGAAATATCCGACAAACACGGTGGGAGTCCTCGTCTGAAAAGAAATTGTGAAAAGACGAACTCAATTAAATTATCGTCTGTATGGAACAACTTACTAGCTAATTCAGAAAAAAGAGAACAAACACACTCACAGACTATTCCTGATATTCAGCACATAGATTAAGGAACTCTGGGTTCCAATATATTCCTTGAAAATGTTCCTAAATAAGTTTGACACACTTACGAAATTTTTTTGGGTTAGTACTTAGTAGAGTGGAAATATGTTGGGAAGAACACATTCATCGCAGCGGACCTAAGAGCGACTTTGGACTGATCGTTTGAGGTTTAACTCGGTGCTTCTCTTCGTCGTTTAGTTCTTTTCAGAACTAGAATTTTCCATCTTTCGTATTATATTATATGTACTTCTTATGATATTTTTACTCTAAAAGGTTAAAGTGAAGCAAAGGGAGACGTTGCTTAATTAATTAAAAATGGAAAAATAGGGGAGGTGCTTAACAAAAATGGATTTTTTCCTACTTTTGTTCCTTGTATAGGTGATAGTATTCTACAATAAATAATTGCAATTAATTAAATTTAATAGGTAACCAATTAGTATTAAGTGTAGCTGGAAAATATTTATTAACTGTAATTAAATGTAATATTAACCAAAAGTTTAGTCAATTATTAATTTGCGATTAGTTATTATCAACAATTTTTTTAAAAAATTCAAATTTATCATTTTAGAACATTTAAGTAATTTTCCGAGAAACGGTCAAAAAATTGATATTGTGAAATTGAAATTTTTGAAAAATTGACTAAAAATTTTTAAAAAATTACAGGGAATACATTTTAACGAGCTGATTCGAGAATTATCTGATCGTCCGGAATCAAGATTTTCAAAAAAATTTCTAAACTTTACTTTGAAAATGATTTTTTTTTAATATTTCAAAATTTATCATTTTTCTTTTTATCGATTTTGAAAAAATTGTTTGAATTTTAGAAGAAATGAAGCCGAAAATAACTTCTTAAAAAAATATCATAATTGAAAGGTTAAAATGTTTGAAAAATTGCTTAAAAATGTTCAAAAAATTCTGGGAAATATATTTCGACGAGCTGATTGGAAAAGGTAAGGTGGTGATGGTCCTGGATCAAGATTTTACAAAAATTTGCTAAGATTTGGTTTGAAAATATTTTTTTTAAATGTCTCGAAAATTGTTATTTTTTATTTATCGATTCTAGAAAAATGATCTGAATTTTAGAAAAAATGAAGCCGAAACCGAAAATCATTTCTTCAAGTCGAAATCTACAAGAAAATGTTTTTAAGTAATTTTCGAAAGGTGTCCAAAAGGCGGCGAAAAAATTCGAAGGGTAGTTATAGAAAAAATTGAATTTTTGAAAAGTTGCCCAAAAATTCTCAAACAATAATAGGGAATGCATTTCAACAAGCTGATTCGAGAATTATAGTGTTGATCGTTTGGGACCAACATGTTTTAAAAAAATTCTAAAATTTGGTTTGAAAATGATTTTTTTTTATATTTCGAAAATTACCATTTTTTTTATCGATTTTGAAAAAATTGTTTGAATTTTATTAGAAATGAAGCCGAAAATAACTTCTTCAAGTCGAAATCTATAGGAAAATGTTTTTAAGTAATTTCCGAAAGGTGTCCAAAAAGCCGTGAAAAAATTCAAAAGGTGGGTATTGAAAAATTGAAATTTTGGAAAAGTTGCCCAAAAAATTTCAAAACAATTACAAGGAATACATTTTAACGAGCTGATTCGAAAATTATAAAGTGTTGATCGTCTCGGACCAAGATTTTCAAAAAATTTTCTAAAATTTGGTTTGAAAATGAATTTTGATTAATATTTCGAAATTATCATTTTTCGTTTTATAGATTTTGAAAAAGTTGTCTAAATTGTAGAAGAAATGAAGCCAAAAATAACTTCTTCAAGTTGAAATCTACAAGGAAATGCTTTTAAGTAATTTTCAAAAGTTGTGATCAAAAAACGATAAAAAAATTCATTGAAAAACTGAAATTTTTGAAAAGTTGTTTAAAAATTCTCAAAAATTCTGGGAAAAACATGTTAACGAGCTGATTCGAAAAACATAAGGTGTTAATGATTCCGGAACAAGATCTTCAAAAATTCACTAAAATTTGGTTCGAGAATGATTTTTTTTTAAATGCCGAAAACTATTATTTCTTATTTAATCGATTCTAGAAAAATTATCTGAATTTTAGAAGAAATGAAGCCGAAAATAATTTCTTTATGTCGAAATCTATAAGAAAATGTTTTTAAGTAATTTTCGAAAGGTGTCCAAAAAGCGGTCAAAAAAATCAAAGGGTGGGTTTTGAAAAACTGAAATTTTGGAAAAGTTGCCCAAAAATTTCCAAAAAAATTACGATGAATACACTTTAACGAGCTGATTTGAAAATTATAGTGTTATCGTCTTGGAGCAAGATTTTCAAAAACTTTTCTAAAATTTGGTTTAAAAACGAATTTTGATTAATATTTCGAAATTTATCATTTTTCGTTTTATAGATTTTGAAAAAGTTGTCTGGATTTTTGAAGAAATGAGCCGAAAATAAATTCTTCAAGTTGAAATCTACAAGAAAATGGTTTTAAGTAATTTTCAAAAGTTGTGATCAAAAAACTATAAAAAAATTCATTGAAAAACTGAAATTTTTGAAAAGTTGTTTAAAAATTTTCTAAAAAATCTGGGAAAAACATGTTGACGAACTGATTCGAAAAACATAAAGTGTCAATGATTCCGGACCAAGATTTTCAAAAAATTCCTTAAAATTTGGTTTGAGGATGAATTTTTTTAAAATCCCGAAAATTATTATTTTTTATTTTATCGATTCTAGAAAAATTATCTAAGTTTTAGAAGAAATGAAGCCGAAAATAATTTCTTTAAGTCGAAATCTATAAGAAAATGTTTTTAAGTAATTTTCGAAAGGTGTCCAAAAAGCGGTCAAAAAATTCAAACGGTGGGTTTTGAAAAACCGAAATTTTGGAAAAGTTGCCCAAAAATTTTCAAAAAAATTACGATGAATACACTTTAACGAGCTGATTCGAAAATTATAAAGTGTTGGAGCAAGTTTTTCAAAAAATTTTCTAAAATTTGATTTAAAATTGAATTTTGATTTATATTTTGAAATTTATCATTTTTCGTTTTATAGATTTTGAAAAAGTTGTCTGGATTTTTGAAGGAATGAGCCGAAAATAACTTTTTCAAGTTGAAATCTACAAGAAAATGGTTTTAAGTAATTTTTAAAAGTTGTGGTCAAAAAACGTTCAAAAAGTTCATTGAAAAACTGAAATTTTTGAAAAGTTGTTTTAAAATTCTCAAAAATTCTGGGAAAAACATGTTAATGAGCTGATTCGAAAAACATAAGGTGTTAATGATTCCGGACCGAGATTTTCAAAAAATTCGCTAAAATTGGATTCGAAAATGATTTTTTTTTTAAATCCTGAAAATTATTATGTCTCATTTTATCGATTCTAGAAAAATTACCTAAATTTTGAAGAAATGAAGCCGAAAATAATTTCTTCAAGTCGAAATCTGCACGAAAATGTTTTTAAGTAATTTTCGAAAGGTGTCCAAAATGCTGTCGAAAAATTCCAGGGGTGGGTATTAAAAAATAGAAATTTTAGAAAAGTTGCCGAAAAATTTTCAAAAAAATTATGAGGAGTAGTACATTTTAACGAGCTGATTCGAAAATTATAACGTGTTATCGTCTTGGAGCAAGATTTTCGAAAAAATTTCTAAAATTTGGTTTAAAAATGAATTTTGATTAATATTTCTAAATTTATCATTTTTCGTTTTATAGATTTTGAAAAAGTTGTCTGGATTTTTGAAGAAATGAGCCGAAAATAAATTCTTCAAGTTAAAATCTACAAGAAAATGGTTTTAAGTAATTTTCAAAAGTTGTGTCCGAAAAACGATGACAAAATTCATAGGGGAGGGTATGAAAAATTCAGATTTTTGAAAAGTTGCCTAAAAATTCCCAAAAATTCTGGCAAATACATGTTAACGAGCTGATTCGAAAAACATAAGGTTTTACTTATTCCGGACCAAGATTTTCAAAAAATTCACTAAAATGTGGTTCAAACATGCAATCTTTTTAAATACCTTGAATATTGTACTTTTTCATTTTATCGATTCTGGAAAAATGGATGAAATTGCCGAAGAAATCAAGGCAAAAATAACTCCCTCAAGTCGAAATCTACAAAAAAATGCCTTCAGGTAATTTTTGAGATGTGCTCGAAAAATGGCCAAAAAAATTGAGATAATTTGAAAAGTATCCTAAAAAAATTCAAAAAACTCAGCGAAATACGTTTGGGCGAGCTGATTCGAAAAACAACAGATTGATGATCCTGGACCAAAATTTAAAAAAAATTCGTCAAAATTTGGTTCGAGAATGAAATTTTTTAAATATTTTGAAAATTGTCCTGTCTCATTTTATCGATTCTTGAAAAACTGATGAAATTTTCGAAGAAATCAAGTCGAAAATAAGTTCTTCAAGTCGAAAATACAAGAAAATGCCTTTAGGTAATTTTCGATATGTGTTCGAAAAATGTCAAAAAAATTGAGATAATTTGAAAAGTATCCTAAAAAAATTCAAAAAATTCAGAGCAATACATTTGGACGAGCTGATTCGAAAAGCAACATATTGATACTCCTGGGCTAAGATTTTTTTAAAAATTAGGTAAAATTTGCTTCGAAAATGTTTTTTTTAATATCTCGAAAATTGTCATTTCTCATTTTATCGATTCTAGAAAAATTGTTGAGATTTTTGAAGAGATTAAACCGAAAATTAACTTCTTCAAGTCGAAATCTACAAGAAAATGCCTTTGGGCAATTTTCCAAGTGTATGGTCAAAAATTTCATATTGAAAAATTGAGATTTTTGAAAAGTTGCCCAAAAATTTTCAAAAAAAAAGTTGATGGTCTTGGAACAAGATTTTTAAAAAATTCTCTAAACTTTGGTTTAAAAATGAAAAATAACTTCTACTAGTCGAAATGAACAAAAAAAAAATCTTTTCAGTAATCGAAAAATGTTGGAAGTTTAATTTTGGTAATTTACATTTAATTATGGTGAATTATAGCTGCTTAAACTTAGTTACAACTAATTATTAATTAATCAACAGTTAACTGCATTCGTTGGGCGCCAATTAAGTTAAACTTATTGTCAATTAATCTTGAACTAATTAATCAATTATTTAAACAGAACTGCATAAATACAAGTAGCACTTGAGGATGGATACTACAAATTTGAAACGTCTGGGTGGCCTCTAGAGCATAGAAGCTACGAATTTCAAGAAAGAAATTTCTGATATATCTTGCATTTTATATGATTTAACTTTTTAGAAAAAGCACCTTAAAGGTAGAAAATTAAACATGAAATCTGCATATTTTTTTCAATCAAATAGTTACCCAACTCAAATAATTTTCTCTCGCCTACTTTTCGCTTAAAAACCCAGATTACATATCCTCTAGCGTAACCCCCGCCGATAACAGTGATCAATCTCAAGAATTAAAGTTCAAAGACATTCACGACCTATTAAATTATGGAGCAACGTACACAAACGGGTGATAGAATTTTTCGAACGACGAAAAAACTATCATCCTTGAGGTGTTCAGCTCACTTCGTGTTTTACTATAAATACGTCGGGCTCACGACAGCCCCCAGTCTCAGTCCGCACTCCGGTGCCACAACTCAGAATGGCTTTGCTGCAGGTGAGTGAATTTTTATTTGTACTAGACGGAGTGTTGTGTTATTTACCCGGCGTGAGAGGAGGAGTCGGAGCGATATATCACGAACTGGGAGATAGTGGAACGTGGAACTTCCATATGAGGCAGCTTCACGGCAAAGTAGTAAATTATCGATTCATTAAAGACGAGAATTGTCAATTAGAGTGAAGGATAGGGAATTCCATTAGGGCAATTTGTTGTTGAGGAGTTTACACACATTTGCAACTAGAGAACCGTTTACTTAAGTCTGTAGTAATTTTTTTTTTTGGTTAATTTAGTTCGTTGTGGTGGCCTTTAGCGCCACTTTAATCCACGCTGGAGTCCCTCCGTACCACGGCTTCGGGTTGGGTTTAGCCCCGGGTGGATTAATCGCCGCCCCCGCAGCCGCCCACGACCCTCTTGAAGGAGTAGACTACTACGTAAGCACTTGTGTATTCGTGCCACAATTCTAGGAAATATAATAAAACCATTTACAGGCCCATCCACGCTATTCGTACAACTATGGGGTGGCTGATGGTATCACGGGTGACCGCAAGACCCAGCACGAAGTCCGCGACGGTGACGTGGTCAAAGGGTCGTACTCGGTGGCGGAACCAGATGGTACTGTGCGCGTGGTGGACTACGCCGCCGATGGGGTTAATGGGTTCAATGCTGTGGTGAAGAGGATTGGTCCGGCCGCGCACGCCGCCCCCGGGCTAGTGGCAGGGCACGGGTTGCTGGGGCATGGTCACGGGCACTACTAATTTTTGGGTGGAGAATGCTTTGATACTGTTTCAAAGTGGGTTTTGGAGCTGTGTATATAGTGATGGTTGGAAAGTACATGTGGCTTATCGCAGGCAATTATCAGTTTTTTGTGCAATGGTTTTATTATTGTAGTTTGTAATTTGTGTACTATGAAGTGTGTTTGTCAAGTACAACTTTCGATAATAAAGTGTTGATGAAAAACCGTTTTTTTTTTTTTTTGAAATATTGCCATCCTGTGGGACTCTGATATCCGGTGACTTAATTCTAAAAGGACAAACCTGAATTTTCCAACGTATTTTAGAATTCGATTAAAAGATACTATGACCCTCAGATTCTTTCAAATTCCTTCAAATGCAGTGGCTCCAAGATCCTTTGGAATTTTCAGAAAAATATATTAGGCGAAGAAAGATTCTTCCAATTTTTTCCAAAAACAAAATACAGGGCTTCCAAAATTTTTTGAAATTAGTACAAAAAATAAATAGTAGGGGGATTCCAAGATTCTTGTAAATTCTAACAATAAGACACTAGAAGCCTCAAGATTACCTTCAACTATTACATGAGAGTAGGGGCTTTCAATTTTTTTTTTTTTAAAAAGTATCAGGGATCCCAAGATTTTTTTTAAAATGGTGTAAGGGAAAATAGAGTAGGTGACCCCACGATTTTATTAAAGTCTCAGAATAAGACACTATAGGAGGCCCAAGATTATTTTCCACTATTACAAAAAAAAGTAGGAGCTCTCTAGATGTATTTAATAAAAAAAAGTAGTGGGGGCCCCAAGATTCTTTTAAATTCTTAACGAAAAGTCAGTGGGGCTCTTCAAGACTCTTACAAATTTTTCCAAAAATTAAAATACTAGATGGCCCCAATATTTTTTCGAATTTTATGAAAAAAAAAACATTTGGACCCCCAGGTTTTTTCAAATTCCTTCAAATCCAGAATATCAGAACCCCCACGATCCTTTGGAATTCTCAGAAAAATATATTAGGAGTCGAACGATTCCTCCAATTTTTTTCAAAAACAAAATACAAAGCTTCCAAAATTTTTTGAAATTAGTACAAAAAATAATAGTAGGGGGATTCCAAGATTCTTGTAAATTCTAACAATAATAAGACACTCGAAGCCTCAAGATTACTTTCAATTATTACATGAAATTAGGCGCTTTCAATTTTTTTTTATTTAAAAAAAGTATCAGGGGCCCCAAGATTTTTTTTAAACTAGTGTAAGGGAAAATAGAGTAGGTGACCCCACGATTTTATTAAAGTCTCAGAATAAGACATTATAGGAGCCCCAAGATTATTTTTAACTATTACAAAAAAAAGTAGGAGGTCTCTAGATGTTTGTAATAAAAAAAAATAGTGGGGACTCCAAGATTCTTTTAAATTCTTAACGAAAAGTCAGTGGGGCTCTTCAAGATTCTTACAAATTATTCCAAAAATTAAAATACTAGATGGCTCCAATATTTTTTCGAATTCTATTAAAAAAAAAAAATTTGGACCAGCAGGTTTTTTCAAATTCCTTCAAATCCAGAATATCAGAGCCCCAAGATCCTTTGGAATTCTCAGAAAAATATATTAGGAGTCGAACGATTCCTCAAATTTTTTTCAAAAACAAAATACAGAGCTTCCAAAATTTTTTGAAATCAGTACAAAAAATAATAGTAGGGGGATTCCAAGATTCTTGTAAATTTTAACAATAATAAGACACTAGAAGCCTCAAGATTACTTTCAATTATTACATGAAATTAGGCGCTTTCAATTTTTTTTTATTTAAAAAAAGTATCAGGGGCCCCAAGATTTTTTTTAAACTAGTGTAAGAGAAAATAGAGTAGGTGACCCCACGATTTTATGAAAGTCTCAGAATAAGACATTATAGTAGCCCCAAGATTATTTTTAACTATTACAAAAAAAAGTAGGAGGTCTCTAGATGTTTGTAATAAAAAAAACTAGTGGGGACTCCAAGATTCTTTTAAATTCTTAACGAAAAGTCAGTGGGGCTCTTCAAGATTCTCACAAATTATTCCAAAAATTAAAATACTAGATGGCTCCAATATTTTTTCGAATTCTATTAAAAAAAAAAAAAAAATTTGGACCAGCAGGTTTTTTCAAATTCCTTCAAATCCAGAATATCAGAGCCCGAAGATCCTTTGGAATTCTCAGAAAAATATATTAGGAGTCGAACGATTCCTCCAATTTTTTTCAAAAACAAAATACAGAGCTTCCAAAATTTTTTGAAATTAGTACAAAAAATAATAGTAGGGGGATTCCAAGATTCTTAACAATAATAAGACACTAGAAGCCTCAAGATTACTTTCAATTATTACATGAAATTAGGCGCTTTCAATTTTTTTTTATTTAAGAAAAGTATCAGGGGCACCAAGATTTTTTTTAAACTAGTGTAAGAGAAAATAGAGTAGGTGACCCCACGATTTTATTAAAGTCTCAGAATAAGACATTATAGGAGCCCCAAGATTATTTTTAACTATTACAAAAAAAAGTAGGAGGTCTCTAGATGTTTGTAATAAAAAAAACTAGTGGGGACTCCAAGATTCTTTTAAATTCTTAACGAAAAGTCAGTGGGGCTCTTCAAGATTCTTACAAATTATTCCAAAAATTAAAATACTAGATGGCTCCAATATTTTTTCGAATTCTATTAAAAAAAAAAAAAATTTGGACCAGCAGGTTTTTTCAAATTCCTTCAAATCCAGAATATCAGAGCCCCAAGATCCTTTGGAATTCTCAGAAAAATATATTAGGAGTCGAACGATTCCTCCAATTTTTTTCAAAAACAAAATACAGAGCTTCCAAAATTTTTTGAAATCAGTACAAAAAATAATAGTAGGGGGATTCTAAGATTCTTGTAAATATTAACAATAATAAGACACTAGAAGCCTCAAGATTACTTTCAATTATTACATGAAATTAGGCGCTTTCAATTTTTTTTTATTTAAAAAAAGTATCAGGGGCCCCAAGATTTTTTTTAAACTAGTGTAAGAGAAAATAGAGTAGGTGACCCCACGATTTTATTAAAGTCTCAGAATAAGACATTATAGGAGCCCCAAGATTATTTTTAACTATTACAAAAAAAAGTAGGAGGTCTCTAGATGTTTGTAATAAAAAAAACTAGTGGGGACTCCAAGATTCTTTTAAATTCTTAACGAAAAGTCAGTGGGGCTCTTCAAGATTCTCACAAATTATTCCAAAAATTAAAATACTAGATGGCCCCAATATTTTTTCGAATTCTATAAAAAAAAAAACATTTGGACCCCCCGGTTTTTTCAAATTCCTTCAAATCCAGAATATCAGAACCCCCAAGATCCTTTGGAATCTTCAGAAAAATATATTAGGAGTCGAACGATTCCTCCAATTTTTTTCAAAAACAAAATACAGAGCTTTCAAAATTTTTTGAAATCAGTACAAAAAATAATAGTAGGGGGATTCTAAGATTCTTGTAAATTTTAACAATAATAAGACACTAGAAGCCTCAAGATTACTTTCAATTATTACATGAAAGTAGGCGCTTTAATTTTTTTTTTATTTAAAAAAAAGTATCAGGGGCCCCAAGACTTCTGTGGCCCGAAATCTACAAGAAAATGTATTAAGTGAAATTTCGAAAATTTAGTTGAAATTTTGTGGGAAATTGGGGTTATTTTGCATATTTTTGAATTTTTCAAAGGACGATTCTGGGAAAACCATTGGAGTTATCGAAGAAATGGAAACAGATATGACTTCTGCGGCCCGAAATCTACAAGAAAATGTATTAAGTGAAATTTCGAAAATTTTATTGAAGATTGGTGGGAAATTGGGGTTATTTTGCATAATTTTGAATATTTCAAAGGACGATTCTGGGAAAACCATTGGAGTTATCGAAGAAATGAAAACGGATATGATTTCTGCGGCCCGAAATCTACAAGAAAATGTATTAAGTGAAATTTTGAAAATTTTGTTGAAAATTGGTGGGAAATTGGGGTTATTTTGCATATTTTTGAATATTTCAAAGGACGATTCAGAGAAAACCATTGGAGTTATCGAAGAAATGAAAACGGATATGACTTCTGCGGCCCGAAATCTACGAGAAAATGTATTAAGTGAAATTTCGAAAATTTTGTTAAAAATTGGTGGGAAATTGGGGTTATTTTCATATTTTTGAATATTTCATAGCACGATTCTGGGAAAACCACTTGATTTATCGAAGAAATGAAAACGGATATGACTTCTGCGGCCCGAAATCTACAAGAAAATGTATTAAGTGAAATTTCGAAAATTTTGTTGAAAATTGGTGGGAAATTGGGGTTATTTTGCATATTTTTGAATATTTCAAAGGACGATTCAGAGAAAACCATTGAAGTTATCGAAGAAATGAAAACGGATATGACTTCTGCGGCCCGAAATCTACAAGAAAATGTATTAAGTGAAATTTCGAAAATTTTGTTAAACATTGTTGGGAAATTGGGGGGCGGGGGGGTTATTTTGCACATTTTTGAATATTTCAAAGGACGATTCTGGGAAAACCATTGGAGTTATCGAAGAAATGAAAACGGATATGATTTCTGCGGCCCAAAATCTACAAGAAAATGTATTAAGTGAAATTTCGAAAATTTTGTTGAAATTTGGTGGGAAATTGGACTTATTTTGCATATTTTTGAATATTTCAAAGGACGATTCTGGGAAAACCATTGGAGTTATCGAAGAAATGAAAACGGATATGACTTCTGCGGCCCGAAATCTACAAGAAAATGTATTCATAAAAAAAAAAAATTAGTGGGGGCTCCAAGATTCTTTTAAAGTCTTAACGAAAAGACAGTGAGGCTCCTCAAGATTCTTACAAATTTTTCCAAAAAGCTAAATACTAGAAGGCCCCAATATTTTTTCGAATTCTATGAAAAAAATCATTAGGACCCCTAGGTTCTTTCAAATTCTTTCAAATCCAGCATATTAGAGCTTCCAAGATCCTTTGGAATTCTCAGAAAAATATATTAGGAGTCGAACGATTCTTCCAATTTTTTTCAAAAACAAAATACAGAGCTTCCAAAATTTTTTGAAAACAGTACAAACAATAATAGTAGGGGGATTCCAAGATTCTTTTAAATTCTAACAACAAAACACTATAAATCTCAAGATTACTTTCAACTATTACATGAGAATAGGTGCTTTTAGGTAATTTTTGAAATTAAAAGAAAGCAGTAGGACCCCTCGAGATTCTTT